CTAAATTGTAATGTATATTGTTCAGATATTGTATTCTTACTTAAGGAAATATTTAAAATTTTGAATTATATTTTTTTGTCCTCTAAATGCTTCTTTTTAGTGGCTTTTGCTCTCTTTGTCTCCCTCTTCTTCTCTTTCTTGTATATACATGAAATACCATTTCATGTATATATTTTACTAATGAGATAAACTTTTGAGAAATGAACTAAAAATCTTTTCACTTACCATAGTTGATGAGGTTTGCTATCATTTTTGAAATTGCGTTACAAATCTCTCGTAACAAAAATAAACATCTACAATGTCAGTTTCTATAATAGAGATGGGATTTTTCTTATTATTCAAGGTAATCTTTTCATAATATGTGAAATGACATCACAGATATTTCTTCTCTAAAATTACATCACTCAACAATACAATCTGTGTTTTTATGTCGGAAAAGAGTCAATTTAGTTTAATATAACATTATTTTAGAAGCTCATTGAGAGATAGATAACATGGAAACTACTAGCAATGTGAAAATACATTTGAAATATTTCAGAGAACCTCTTTATGACAAATGATAATGAGTTTAATACTAGAAAGCAAGTTATAGCTTCTCAGTGGAGTGTTGGGTAAGAAAAGGAAATGTCAAATGTAATGGACAAACAGAAAACACTTTCTGAAGATACAATGTGTACTAATATTTTAATATCTAAGACTGTTGAAAGAAAAATAGAAGTGCTGAAGCTTAGACATAAGAAAATTGCAGGATATTTGACATAGAAGCCATATTTATTAAAAAATAAAACTAAAAATCTAAAATAAAGCTAAAAAAACTAGAAAAAATCTTGAAGTTATAATAAAATCATATTGGCATGTGTATATATATACATGTGTATGCACAAAGGGATGCTCTTTAGATAGATAAATACAATTAGATATTCTAAGGATCAGTTTACATTTACAAGAATTAACTATCTTCTTTTACTAAAATGTAGAGTTTTAACTGAAAATTTGCAGTGACTACTGTCCTATTTTAAGGATTCAAAGATGAATCAGGTCAAGTTCTTACATATAAAGAAATGACTATTACAAGTGGATGCTTAATACCATATTTAGGAATTATTATAATTCATTATTTTAAAAGATGCCACTGAACTGTAACTAAAATATTATTGTTATAGTCTAGTAGATCTAATGGTGAAGAAAATTGGGGGGAGTTTCATAAATAAGTTTCATTTGCAATATCTCTTCACAAAGTAGGACTTCTCATTTGCCAGCTAATGAGAAAAAAGTGTTTAGAAAGTGGAATGAGGTCTGTAGAGGTAACCTTAAAGAATCACAGTTATTTAAAATGTTCAGATAACATACTCTATGTTATGTTTTTCTATTTCATGTTATACATGAAACACTGCAGAGCTGAAGTTGAATATTGAGGGATCAGACCATGAAAATTTTCTTATTTCATGCATGTGTGCTAAGTTGCTTCAGTTATGTCTGACTGCTTGTGACTCTGTGGGCTGTAGCCTGCCAGGGTCCTCTATCTATGGGATTCTCCAGGCAAGAATACTGGAGTGGGTTGTCATGCCCTCCTCCAGGGAATCTTCCTAACCCAGGGATTGAACCCGTGTCTCATTTCTCCTGCATAGGCAGGCAGGTTCTCTACCACTTGGTGCCACCTGGGAAGCCCTTCATATTTCATATGCCACACCAAATAATACTATCATGTAGTCAAGGAGATGTCTTTCACAATTTCAAGCACAATCTGTGTATTGGATATTTTAGCCCTGTGGAGGATTTATTTATGAGACTTGCCAGAAACTTGGAATCATTTGGGAAAATCATGGAGGGAAAGAATTAATGCAAAATATATTTAAGAAGAAGGATGGTCAACTTGGAATCAATTAAACATGGTAAATGAAAGAGAAGAAGAATTTAAGGATAACTATGATTGTACATTTGATCTCTCAAGATGACCTGGAGAACTAAGTATATTACGAATTTTTTTTCCCCCAAGATTTATGAGCAATGAATAGGCACCTCAGGAAATTAATTTGAGTAAATTTATTTTATTTTCCATACTGCTCATTGGTTTTAACATTTTAAACCAGCAGAATAACTTGATTACAAAAGACTGTAGGTCAGGGCTTGTGGAATTCCCCTCATTGAAGCAGCATGCAGATAGACTGACTTTGTACCATGTTATCTCTTTCTGGCCCATAATGTGAATCCCTTCACATGAATTTATATAATTTTGAGTCAAAATGTATAAGTGGATAGTTTGCACTGTATTACACACATCCCATATACACTGTATTGTATATATTTCCATACATATATATATACTTGCATATTTTATGTGTATATGTATGTGTATAGACATATATGTATATGTATATACATGTATGTATATACACACTTATATCCATATGTGTGTGCATATTATATGTGTGGTATACATATATGTATATGTATATATACACTTATAGACATATATGTGGATCCATATATCTAGACTTTAGTATGGATCAATTACCCTTCTATACACTAAGGCATGTATACATGTGATATACATATATGTATATTTTTAAATTTCATGTGTAATATATATTAATATTCTTGTGCTTTTAAACAAACATACAGTCTCTCTATTGGGTTAAATTACTTATAAGTCACAATTACAAAAATTAGGTCATATGTTTTTAGTCAGACTAAGATCAGTTCAGACTTTATTAGTATTGACTAACTACTCTTATATACACTAAGGCATGGCATCATCCCATTTCATTATTAAATATCTGGCATTAGGTGTATTTACTCCTAATTGTTAAGATATAATACTTGTACTCAGTCATTATTTATATAACATCCATACTTTGGGTTAATGACATTTGTTAAACAAAATTTCTTTGTAGACAATACTGTTTCATTGTTATCTATGTTATCTATTGTTAACTGTGATGCACATAATTGTAACAAATGAATTTAGTTTGGCATGATTTTATAAGGCCACACAGAAGAGTGAAAGTTGAATTATTCTGTCAGATGAATCAAGCATCAGGTGATGTAGAGTTTACATGAAATTAATCAGAACAAGAATCTTTTTACCACTTTATACCCATATTATCAGCCAATAATTGTGTCAAGCTTTTTGTTTTTCTTATCCATACACCTAGGCCAACACTTTTTAACTGTGCTCACAAATTAATTTTTTAAGATAGTTTAAGCTTGAATTTTCAAGGTATGATTGATAAATGTACTAAAAATAGTTGCAAACACTCATTAACCAGGAAGACTATTAACAAGTAAACATCTTAGCTGTTATCATTAGTCATTAAATGAGAAAAGTGATAGTAAATTTCAAGGAATTTTTCTTGTGCTAAGATTAAATCTACATGGAAAATAATACCTATCTCTTCCAAACATGAGCACAATAATCCTCAGTAAATTTAGTATGTAAAACATGCTACCTTGTTTTGAAATGAAAAAAAAAAAACTTGAGTAATTTGATGACCACAATCATTAAACCTATTTGATTTTTATGTTTTAATCTTGCTTTAAAATTCATTACATGCTGTGGTTATTTCATGTTAAATAAAATTGAGCAGTGCAGCAATTGAGAGCAGAACAATAAAAAAAAGAACAGTCAAGAAAGTAAAATAAACCTATCCAAATGTCAAAAGGCAGCAGCTATTTTCTATTTACTTATGAAAAATGGTGTATAATTTAGCATTTGAGAAAAAATTGAATCCCTTTCATATAATGCTGCTTTTATGAGATATATTAGTTTTATAATTCAGTTAAATTCCATGTAAAGGATTTTTATTTATTCACTAGTGTTTAATAGTTGTGCTGTGCTGTGCTTGGTCGCTCAGTCATGTCTGACTCTTTGTGACCTCATGGACTGTAATCTGCCAGACTTCTCTGTTCACAAGGATTCTCCAGGCAAGAATACTGGAGTGGGTTGTCATATGCCATCCTCCAGGGGATCTTCCCAACCCAGGGATTGAACCCAGGTCTCCTACATTGCAGATGGATTCACCACCATATGAGCCACAGGGAAGCCCAAGAATACTGGAGTGGGTAGCCTATCCCTTCTCCAGGGGATCTTCCCAACCCAGGAACCCAACTGGGATCTCCTGCATTGCAGGCAGATTCTTTTTCTTTTTTTTTTTGCAGGCAGATTCTTTACCAGCTGAGCTACCAGGGAGAGGTTCAAAATTATAGATACTTTCTGATTAACATCCATTCTCCATTCTTTTGCTACTTATTGAAAATTAAATGATCAATTTTATATAGTTTTACAATATACATCATAACTTTATTTCCTTAAGAAATTATAGACTAAATATGTCTGATCACTCATTTAAAAAAAATAATTTGATATGATTTGCATATTGTTTAAAGTAAAAAATACTTACAATGCTTGTTTTAGATTAGTCTGTTACTCAGCTACATATCTGATAAACATAGTAAAAGGTTGATTTCTTATTCCAAATTTTAAAAGACATTAACAGAGAAGCAAGTAATAGAAGACGAAGATTAGCCTGTACCATTGCCTGGACATACATTCATCCTTCTTAATATAATATCAGTCACATTTTAGGAGGTGATTCTATAGTCAAAGATTATTTAAAGATTGGACTTAAAACAAGAATCACCTTAGCTTCAGTCCTAGAAATACTTAATTTTTTTTGTTGTAGTTTAACATAAGGATTTTACAGTTGACTTGAACCATTTACTTGACATATTTGATTTTAATCTAAGACAAAAACTATATGTATTTTCCCAGACTTCTTTTCAAGAAAAAGTATTTCTCACCTTTAGCGTTGTTTTTCATTGTTTATGTTAGTGTGTGCAAAGCAATTACCTTTAAGTCTGGTATGTAGCAAGATCTTAAAATTATTAGCTGTTGATTTTGTGATATCACTAAGGATGACTTTTTCAATATTATGTCTTACCAAATGCACTATAACTAGAGATCTAATAAATATATATCTCCCTGCTTTAAAATTCTCCAGTCATCACAGATAATGTTACTAAAAAGAGTGCAGTTTTGAAAACAATTATTCCAGATATTTCAACTTAGACACTCTAAGAAAATGTTTTAAAAGGTATTGGAAGTCTAAGAAAGCAAAAAAGGAAATGCTGAGGTAAGGAGATACAAGGTTGAGATATGAGATATCAGGCTATCTGTGTTTGCTAATTCTTACCAAAAGAAAGAGGAACTTTCTCTTATCTTCATGGCAAGAAATACTTTTACAACTTCAAGCAAGACACTCAGGGAAATTAGGATTCTACCCTCTCTTAGAGAAGAAAGAATATAGCAGTTTTCCTTAATAACTACATTTCAAGAGATGGCTCCTAGGTGCTTGAGAAAGATAGTCCTGGGTTATGAAACCAGCAAAGTACCTAAGAGATATTGGGTTGGCCAAAAAGTTTATTCAGGTTCTTCCTTAAGATGTTATGGAAAAACCAGAATGAACTTTTGACCAATGCAGTATTTAAGAAATTGTGATAGTTATAGATATTATTCATCCTTAAAAAAAGAGAAAGATCTTGCCATTTTCAGCAATATGATGAACCTGAAAGGATGCTAAGTCAAGCAAAGCAGACATAAAAAATAAAGAACTACAGGATCTCACATATTCAGTATTTTAAAATGTTGAATACATAGAAGCAGAGGGTGGAATGGTGGTTACCAAGACAGGGAGGTGGGGGAAACAGGGAGATGTTTGTCATCACATTAAAAAGGGTAAAAAGTTATAATTTTGCAGGATGAATAAATCCAGAGACCTAAGGTACAACACAATGACTACAGTTTATAATACCATACTATATACTGGACATTTGCTAAGATAGATTTCCTCTGCTCTCATCACATACTCACACACAAAGATAAGATAATATGTTAATTAAGTTGACTGTATGACCATAAGAATCATTTCATTATGTGCATGTCTATCAAAACATCATGTGGTACATTTGAAAATATATATATATATGTATATATATAGTTTTTATTTTAAAGAGAAAAAGAAACCAGGGAGAACAAAAAGGAAGCATGACACAAGATCCTTGCCCTCAAGATGTTTACTGTATAATCAGAGTGAAAGGAAGAACTTACTGATGGTCAAAGACACATGGACTATGGAATTAACTGTAAATTATAAAGTAGAAAATTAGAGTAAACTGAATGTTGCTTGAAAATAAAAGATTTATATCCCCAAAACAGCAGAGAATAAATTATAATTTTAAGTTTTCTATGGTAAATGCTCTTAAAAAAGGGAGAGGGACCTCTGTGGTTCAGGCCATCTGGATTTTGTAAGGGCAGATGTGAGAGGTAAATCAGGAGGCTAGAAAAGGAAAGAAATCTGTCTGAAGTTTAGTTAAACTTGGGGAAATTAAGGCCGTTTTGGTGAACATTTTTTGTTTTCATTAAACATTTTATAGAGTGATAATGTAATACTTACTGATTCAGCCAGTGTCTTGAAATCATGACTAATTGCCTTGTGGTGATCCATTACTTCCTTCTTCCTTCCTCTCTTTTCTTTCATAGTTGACCATCAGAACTACTAACTAAATTTAAATACATTGACAGAGAGTGTGTTTGCTTGGGTTTGTAAAGTGGTAGAGACAATATGTTACTTATTTTGAAAGGTTTTCAAGATAATTTACTGTGGGTAATTATTGCTGACATTATATTAATTTGAATAAAAATTCAGATAAATAACTTTTTAAGATACTTACCGAACTCCTATAAGGGAAAAATAACTGTTTGGATAAAATGATAGAAAATCTTTAAAATCAAATAGACTCTGTAGAAATGATTATTTCTACGATTTGAAAATTACCTCATTGGATTTTAATAAGATTATTTTTTTCAGTGCACAATTCATTATAGTCTTATATACAAACAAAAGACTTGATTTTTCCATACAGTTCATAAAAGAAGAGTAAATTTTATTAACATTCTAATTTAATTTTTGAGACATATATATACACCTTTATCACTGAATGAATGAATGAAAATATTGAAATGTCAAAGCACAAACACATCACACAAATAATTGTAAGTAATTCTGTGCTTTTTTTTCAGACTAAAGTATGAGTGTCCATTCTCAGCTTCTGCCAGCAGGATTAAAATCTCTTCTTAGCCCTATCTTACTCCAGCTTGTTTTCACCTCAGGAGGCCATAAATACCTCGACAAAACTGTAAACTTCCAAAGAAGGACAGGGCTTGAGGTTGTATTATGCATGGTTTTACAGAGCTTTGTGGATCAACTGAAGTTCAGAAAGACTGTAGTGAAGAAAAATTTGGTAAGATGTCAGAGACTGCAAAGTCAGAATGAGATCAGCCACAAAGGATAAACCTGTTCCTCCTATTCAAGATCTAATCACAGCAGAGTATTCAAACTTAAGCCTGGATATTTTGGTTTGTGTTCTCAGGGTTGCAACACAGGGCTTTATATTATAGATATCATAGCTTAGACGTTCTCAGTGTAATTTTCTATTGATGAGTGGCTTGTGGAAAGTAATTTTCTGATAAAAGGAAAAAAACCTTCAAAATCTCTTATACAGTCATAAGAACTAAGGTTTTTTTTTTTAATCAGAAATATACATCCAGGAATTCAGAGGACAAAGAGGAATAACCAGTCTAAGCAACCCCTCATATACAAGGCAAGATATTTAAGTATTTGCTCCCATGGTATGTGGCAAGCCATACATACGGTGTAATGCAGTTCTTTAAAACCATTGCTTGGTTCCTTAACTGGGTGGGGCGGGGGGAATGCTTGTATTGAAGAAGATGATAAAGTATACATTCATCCTGTGAACAAGCATAAGAGCCAAAGTATGAGATGGGTGTTCAGTGTTATTTTAGAGTCTGTTGTCATTGTGTTTGTGTTCCCTCCACACTTTTGAGTGTACAGATGTTTTATTATTCCCCATTCACTGGGTGATCTCCTCAAAGTTGCATCTTTGTAAAGTGGAACCCAGTTTTTTTGATCATTTGCTTCAGTGAGGATAGGTACTAAGCTCTTGTTAAGTTCACCTGTTTCTTTTTAGTAAATTTAGTTTCAGTTCACTTTAGTTCAGTTGCTCAGTCGTGTTCAACTATTTGCAACCCCATGGACCATAGCACGCAGGCCTCCCTGTCCATCACCAACTCCCAGAGTTTATCCAAACTCATGTCCATTGAGTCAGTGATGCCGTCCAAACATCTCATCCTCTGTCGTCCCCTTTTCCTCCTGCCTTCAATCCTTCCCAGCATCAGGGTCTTTTCAGATGAGTCAGTTCTTCACATCAGGTTGCTAAAGTATTGGAGTTTCAGCTTCAGCATCAGTCCTTCCAGTGAACACTCAGGACTGATCTCCTTTAGGATGGACTGGTTGGATCTCCTTGCAGTCCAAGGGATTTTCAAAAGTCTTCTCCAACACCACAGTTCAAAAGCATCAATTCTTTGCTGCTCAGCTTTCTTTATAGTCCAACTCTCACATCTATATGTGACTACTGGAAAACCCATAGCCTTGACTAGATGGCCCTTTGTTGGCAAAGTAATGTCTCTGCTTTTTAATGTGCTGTCTAGGTTGGTCATAACTTTCCTTCCAAGGAGTAAGTGTCTTTTAATTTCTTGGCTGCAGTCACCATCTCAGTGATTTTGGAGCCCCCCAAAATAAAGTCTGTACTATTTCCACTGTTTAGCAGCATATAAAAAGCTTCTGTGATTGATTAAAAAAAGGTTATGACTGTTAAATAATCAAAATATTTGGAATCATAATATATATCACATATTTTAATTAATTATATTTATATATGAATATACAAAATATCATAGTATGGGCTTCCATGGTGGCACAGACAGTAGAGAATCTACCTGCAATGCAGAAGACCTGGGTTCAATCCCTGGGTCAGGAAGATACCCTGGAGGAGGAAATTGCAACCCACTCCAGTAGTCTTGCCAGGAGAATTCCATGGACAGAGGAGCCTCGTGGGCTCTAGTCCATGGGGTTGCAAAGAGTCAGACTCAACTGAGTGACTAACACACACGTATCACAGTATACGTGTATGAAAGTCTCATAATGTGAGTAGCATTCCTTTATCACAGGTTTTTGTTAAAAAATGAAGTAATCTTAAAAATCATTTAGAAATAAAAGCAGAATGGAGTATTTTGTTAACATGTTGTGAAGCCAAGTCAAGTAGTGATATTATGACAATCCTCTGAAAATTTTTCTATAGATGTATTACAATAACATCAATATCCTAATAGGCTTTTTTGAATAAAAAGATTAAGGTTTATCTAAATTAGTAGATGATCTAGAAGAGTCAAAAATTGTTTAAATTAAGATCAAATTTGAGGACTTATGCATATTGATTTCATGAAATATTATAAAGCTACAGTAATCAAGGCAGGTGGTATGGGCATAAGAATAGACACACGTTTCAGTGGAATGAACTGTAAAAAGAGACTGACTTCTGTGGTCTGTTGGTTTTCAAAAAGTCATGGAAGTAATTGCATGAAGAAAAGCACTGGAAATGTTTTGTATAAATATATGAATATCTGCAACCTACCTCTCAAAGATTTTAGATATGTAGATCCAAGTTAAGGCTCCCAGATTTACATTTTTACTTTCCAGGAGTACTCATCAAAAAAAAAAAAAAAAAAAACAACCTTTTTTGGGGAGGGGGAAGTCAGGGAGAGAAACTAAGGTTTAGTCAAAATAGTATGAGATGCCTTGTGGGTTATTCCAACTATCTTTTATCTTTCATTCCATCCCAAGCACAGCTAAAACAGTCATAAATACAGATGTGTTGTGGGCAGTTTTAGAACTTTCCATAAACTGACTGCACAAACTGGGCTTTGAGTTGTCCCCTGTCCTATCTTTTTATGTTCCTTAGGGTTGAAGTTAGTCTCTCATCTTTCTGGTTCCACATTCATCCTGTTAGAGTTTATCTCTACATATCAACTCCTGTCTAGATTCATGCAATACTCTCCTTACACATTTAATCCAATCCTTCCCTAAAGTGTTATGGATCCTGTTATTCTCCAGATGCTTCAAAGTCTTTTATTTCAGTCACAGGAAAACACAAAATGCTTACACTGAACCAGAAGACCCTACATGATCTGTCCCCACTCCCTGCACCCAAGACCCTCCCACACTGTTCTCCCTCCTTCAGCCATACTAGCCTTTCTGTTTTTCCTCCAACTTCCACAACATGCTTCACTTGCTATTCCCTCTGGAATGTTCTCAAAGATGTTAAGGAAGTTCCTGCTGTATGAAACAGTTCAGTATTATAAAGTGTCTACTCAGATATGCTTTCCTGAACCATTCTGTCTAAAATAACCTCACTTAGAACTGGCTGCATGATTTGTGGAGCTCTGAGCAAAAATGTAATATGTGGCCCCTTGTATAAAATGGTTAAGAATTTCAAGACAGTAAATGGAGAGCATTAAGCCAAACACAGAGTCCTTCTGAATGCCTGGCCTTGGTAACTACGCAGGTTCAATGGCCATGAGACTGACTGTGCCCTCACCGCATCCCAGTTTTTTCTTTTAGCCTCTTATTTCAGTCTGATTCACATCCCCTAGTGGCATAGACTGTGTAATTTATGTTATTTATTATCTCCAGTTGTGAGACCAAAGATATTTCTTTTTCTATTGCCATATTCATAACACTTTAAGCAGTCCTACAAGTAGTGGACAAACAGAAAATATTTGTAGATTGAATAAGTGAACCAACAAGACAAAACTTCTAAATCACACATTTGTATTACTATTTTTTCCTATGCTATCATAATTGGGAAAATTCATGGTGGAGATTTTTTTAAGGATTAATTATAATTTAATGTAAGACAGTAGTGTATCATTCTTCATTAATTATGGTTAAAACAATAATTTGAAAATTATTTTATTTAAAAGCTCTCATTTTAGATAGAAATCTGAAATTACACATTATTATAAAAGATTTAAAATGTCTTCTACTGACATTCAAATGTAAAGTTTCAGGGTAGCCTTTATTTTAACTTTAAAAATTCAAAAGATGTGAGTACTGCAATAGAGTATAAAGTGATACATTCAATTCCCATTGGAATCCAATCTTACAGATCGTAGCTGTAGGGCATTTTTATTAACTTTGCTTGAATACATCTCTTCTGTTGGTTTTAGTCTTTGTGAAAGTTTTTAATTTCATAAGAAAGTAAACCTTTTAGTATTAAAGCGAGTAGACTATATAATTTCTATCAATCCCTTGGGTAATATATTTCTCAAGTTTCTGAATAATTATGACCTTGAAGATGATGATAAACCAGACAAAATCTACAAGGATTTAAAGCTTTTAGAGTTTTATACCCTTGGTCTGGCTGCATGTCTCCATGACAAATCTGCTTGTGGTTTGAATGAAGATTAAATACGTCCTACATTAGAGAGCATTGCTTCTGCTATTCTCATCCAAGTAACAATGAAATGATAGCATAATTTCAATTCTTATGACTATTTTATCATGTAAATCTTAATATAGTAAATTTATATTATACAATTTATATTGGTAAAAGTTTATAAAATCATTAATTTTATGTGTATTAAATCAGAATGTTGTATATAGTCTAATAAATGTAGCAAACTTTTAAGGAGTAGGCAGGTAGAAAAATGGTTAACTTACACATATATATGAGTATGTATATATTAATATATGTATAAATACATGTATATATGTGCGTCAGTTCAGCCGCTCAGTTCTGTCCAACTCTGCGACTCCATGGACTCAGCATGTGGGGCTTCCCTGTTCATTACCAACTCCTGGATCTTGCTCAAACTCATATCCTTTGATTGGTGATGCCATCTAACCATCTCATCATCTGTTGTCTCCTCCACCTGCCTTCAATCTTTGCCAGCATCAGGGTCTTTCCAATGAGTCAGCTCTTCACATCAGGTGCCCAAAGTGTTGGTGCTTCAGCATCAGTCCTCCCAATGAATATTCAGGATTGATTTCCTTTAAAATAGACTGGTTTGATCTCCTTGCAGTCCAAGGGACTCTCAAGAGTCTTCTCGAACACCACAGTTCAAAAGCATCAATTCTTTGGTGCTCAGCTTTCTTTATGGTCCAACTCTCATTTCCATACATGACTAATGGAAAAAACCAAAGCTTTGACTATATGGGCCTTTGTTGGTAGAGTAATATCTCTGCTTTTTAATATTCTGTCTAGGTTAGTCATAGCTTTTCTTCAAAGAAGCAAACGTCTTTTAATTTCATGGCTCCAGTCACCATTTGCAGTGATTTTGGAGATGCCCAAAATAAAGTCTGTCACTGTTTCCATGTTTCCCC